TGTGTGTGTGTGTGTATGTGTGTACTTATTTTCATTGTCCTTCCCTAACTGGAAAGTAAATTTCTTGAGTGCAGGTGCTTTTCTTGTCTTGCTCACAGCTATGGAAAAAGAATGAGTGAATGAACAAATGAATGAATGAAGCTGTTTCTGAAGGACGTACTGTCCTATCAGTCAGATTCTTTGAAATCCTGCCGTCCAGTCCACTAATGAAAAGTGTGAACGCACATACGTTCCCTACCTCCCTGAGGCCCGCTGTTCTTGCTTGCATCCTGGAACTCACAGTTAAGTGCTGCTTCATTTGTTATGAGGTCTTTGAAGGACGACAGACCTCCCAAGGCATATCCGTTATTCAGTTTTAGGCAGAGACTGACCAATGTGACTGTGACTGTCACCGTGCTCGTGTTCCTGTGACGGCAACTCCACATGGTGAAGTAAACGTCGTATGAAGTCACCCCTTTGATCCCTGAGTGGACTCTTTATATAAACATACGGGACCCCAAACGTGATTTGCCACATGCTTTCCCCTCAATTCCTGGATCCGTGGGAGCACGGATATGAACTCTGACCTGGCCCCAGGACCAAGCTGATAACCACCTAACCTTGATGGAGCTGTGGCGTGTCTGAAAAGCATTTTCTATGTTCTGCCCCCACCCCTGTGTGTTTCTCCAGTGCTTTGGAAACCCCCTCAGACATACTGTGTGCGCGTGTTGTCTTCTCTGGGACATGCCTGCCCTTTTCTTTGGTCTGCCAGACTTAAGTTCTATGACAAACAGTTTTACTAAAGTGTTACAAACAAAGTTAAAATCTGTATTTTTGCTGAAAATAACAAGCACCTAATGATTGTAGTGAGTACGATGGCTGTTTAAGAAAAGTATATCCAATGACTCTTCCTGAGACCTTGCAAACAGGAGCACATAGGTAGCTACACCAGCTGTCTTCCTAAAAGGATAAGTCTGAAGTAGAAACGATGGCGTTTCTTTTATCCTTAGATGGTGAGCTAGAGTTGCACAATAGTGCCACAAATCCTAAAAGTACCACCGTCCTCCCTGCACTCCTTGATATAGTTCATGCCATTTAAAATTTCATGTGAAATTTATGTAACCTTCAAAAGGTAAAATTCCAGGGAAAAACTCTCTGATTTGTGTTTCTGGAAGCCACTAGGTATTTATTTTGAATACATGTGCGCAGGGCAGGGGAAAGGGAAGACACAGTAGGGAAGAAGAGAAGACAGAAGAGCAATCAAGGGGACTTCTTAAGTACTCACTTTTTTTTTAGTGTGGGGAGAAAACACACTCACGTTTTTCCTGTGCTCTCACACCACACAACGACCAACATAGAAGACTTCTGTGATCAAACGCATGGGGGCTTCCCACACATACCAAGCAAGCAATCAGTTCTGCAGTGGGTGCCATTTGCTGTCATCACGTCAGCTCCATCCTAATGCCACCTCCTGGGACATAGTGCCAGACCCCATGGGGCGAGGGCCCGGCCTGCGAGACTTGCCTCCATCTCCAATGTGGTTGCAAGCCCTGGGTGGTTTTACCTGTGCTTTCGATGACCTACAAACCGAGAATCCCATGGCCCCTCCTTGGGCTTGATTAATTTGCTAGAGTGGCTCACAGAACTCAGGGAAACACTGACTCCAGTTTACCAGTTTATTATAAAGAATATTACAATGGATGTGAACGAACGGTCAGATGACAAGACACACGGGGCAAGATCTGGAAAGGTCTCAAGCGCAAGAGCTTCTGTTCCCGTGGCACTGCAGTGTGCCACCCTCCTGGGCACGTAAATAAGTTCTTGTTTGCCTTGCAAGCCTCTTCAAGTTTAACTGTCCAGAAGCTCTCCATACCCCGTGCTCTTGGGCCTTTAATGGAGATTGTGGGATCACACGATTGAGGCACAGGCAGCTGCGTAGACGTGTCTGTACGAGAAGGCTATGATCTGCTGTTAGTGCACTGAGCAGGGCCCCAGCCAGCCCTGCCTGCTTAAGTTATCCTCGGCCCCTGGGTGCAGTGTCCCTTCCCCCAGGGGGTGAGGCAGGGCCCCTCTGCCATGCGGACTTATGACCTACACTCAGACAGGCAGGCAGATCAAAGAATTTCTTTATGGCCACAAGGTGGGGAAGGTTAGAGAATACTTTAGTTTCTAAGGCCTGCTTTGGGGAGAAAGAGGAGCAGGTGAACAAAGGGCAGGAGAAAGTCAGAGACTCTGTTTCCTGAGGCCCACTTCTGAGCACCCCAACACTGCAACAAAATCTATGGGAACCGTGAATGAAAACCGGTATACAGCCACGATACCACATCGTCCCTTCTGTTTACTCCTTCAACAACAGCACGGCCACCGTGGCCACAGTCCCCCATCCATCTGCCTGGGAAGGAGCTGACTGTCAAAAGACACCTCCCGACACTCTCTGAGAAGCCCTGAACCCCCCCAGCGCCCTCTTCAGAGCTCCAGTCACATCTTTGTTCCTCAGGCTGTAGATGAGGGGGTTCAGCAGGGGTGTGAGGATGGTGTAGAACATGGAGAGGACTTTGTCCTGGGCGGGGGTGTGGTAAGAGTGTGGCAACATGTAGGTGTACATGGCAGCGCCATAGAACAAGGTCACCACAGTCATGTGAGAGGAGCAGGTGGCAAACGCCTTCCTCCTCCCCTCCACAGAGCTCATGCGGTGGACGGTGGTCAGGATTCGCGCGTAGGACGCGATCACCACGGAGAAAGGAACCAGCAGCATCAGCACACAGCACACGTACATCACTGTCTCATACAGGGCCGTGTCTGCACATGCCAGTCTCAGCACCGCGGGTGCCTCACAAAAGAAGTGGTCAATCTCCCGGGAATTGCAGAAGGGAAAGCTCATGGTGATGGGGGTTAGGAGGAAGCCATCCAAAGAGCCACCAAACCAGGAACCTGCTATGATCATCCAACAAACCCGGCGGCTCATGAGGACAGGATATCTCAGAGGGTTGCAGATGGCCACATAGCGGTCATAGGCCATGAGGCCCAGAAGGAAGAATTCAGCTCCCACAAGGGTAAGGTAGAGGAAGTGTTGAGCGGTGCACCCCACAAAGGAGATGGTCCTTTGACCCAGCAGGTAATCGATCAGCATCTTGGGCACGATGGTGGAGATGTACGTCATGTCAATGAAGGAGAGGTGGCTGAGGAGGAAGTACATGGGGGTGTGGAGGCACAGATCAGTTTGGATCAGGACGATCATGACTCCGTTGGCCATCAGTGCAGTGAAGAAGATGACAGTGATGATAGTAAAAAGCAGGCCTGAGGTTTCCTTTGTGTTGAACAGGCCCATGAAGGTGAAGTCAGTAGAGGACGTGTTGCTCCCTTCCATCAGTGCTACAGTGGGTGGTGCTGATACCACCTAGAGTCTTCCAAATAAAATGGTGACTTTCTAGGGAATTAAAATAATGGCATGCAAATTAGCCAGTAGGCAGCCAACTCCTAAAAGTTGGAATAAAAAATTTTAAAATAATATTCTTGATACTTTGGAATTGGTATGTAGAAATGTATCTATTCCAGAATGTTTTTAAATAAAGTTGATCATTATTAATCAATAATTCTTTACATACATTGGACAAGATGATGTCAGCAGCTGCTGTTGTACTGCAATGATATACATAGTAACACCTAAGGATATATACCATGCTATGCAGCAGTTACACATACAATGCCTCGTATGTATGTGTATGCATGTGTGTGTGTGTACTGCCTTAGATATATTTAAATGGTATTGTTATTAAATGCACCTTTGGATGGTCAGAATCGACACCATCTTCAAAACATCTTTGTTACAGCCCATGAGTAGCCTATGTCTGCCATTTAGCCACAAGGACGAGTCATCTACATTTGGGCCACAAGTCACTGTCTGCATCATGAGGATATACTTGGTGTCAATTTATTCATGTTCAGACATGAGATGAAATAACATGGGCAATGGAAGCTACTCTTGCAAATTCAGACATACAAGGATCATCCAATACAAGAGATATTCACTGTTCTAAAATCGTTTTTATTTATTTTCAATTTTAGGATGGTGAGAAATTAGCATTAGCATTATGATTAGCATGAGTATTGGTAATTAGTATTAGCAACTAGGATTTAGAGGAAATAATACAGGCACATACATATTGAACTATAACTCACCTATTACTTTTGGAAATTGGAGTTTTTTAATAGTGCTTAGTAATTAAGAAAAACTGAATGACTGTGTTCCATATAATTTTAGGTTATGATAAAGAAAAATAACCCACAACAAACTTTATGAAAGTAAAGGATGATTTCTCGTGTGTTTTAAAGCTAAATATATTCCAGGCAAGACATTTTACCAACATGTTTAGGAGTTAAATTGATCAAACTACTTGAATGTTCCTCTAAATATTCTAAAAATGTGAGCATTTCAATCAAATGTACAGAAAAAAATTACTACTGAGAATAACAGTGATGACATTGTGAAAAGTTCACTCTGTGCCATGTGTCATGCTAACAAGTGAGTCTATCTATTGACTCCCTGATCTTTACAATAAACCCAAGAAGTGAGGAACTACGAGACCCTTTCACTAATGGCCGACTTGAGAGCAATGTGTCAGTGGTCACACGATCTGTGAGTGGGAGAAGTGTTTGGGTCAGACAGTCTCAATTCCTTCTGCGTTCTCATCCACAGCCTGCAGCATCAGCTAGACATTCCTGTAGTTATCAAATAAAATGTGCCAACCATGTGAATCTCCTGAATCTTTATATGTGATTATTAATGTGACTAGTGAAAATGAGTCATAATTGAGAGTAAATCACATAAATTATTATAATCAGAATTGCTATTTTTTAAGAATGCAAACTATGTTTTTCATGTATATCCTTTTTTAAAATTTTTTTGCCAATTTCAGAATGTTTGGTGCTGGATTTTATAAGTTTCCCTGATACAATGTCATCATTGTTAACAATCTGCCTTGTTTTTCTTTTGCCTTTTCAATTTTTCATTAATGGAGCCTATTAAAATATGTATGTGAAGAAAAAATGCTGTCCAGTTTATGAAATAGTCTAAACATCAGTAGTATTTCAACTGTTTCCACACTTTCCACATGTTGGGTTTAACTTTTGCCACGCCCTGAGACTCCAGGAACAGAGGGAAAATGATGTGTTGCTTTACAAAGTCAAAAAGTTTTTCTGTTCTCTGTTCACACTCTCTCCTAAATGTGTGTGTGTGTTTTAAAGCTTCTGTTGTCCTAGCTTTTGCTATAGCAAGCTAGCTCCACAGTCCTAGCAATACAAAGGGAAATCCTAAAGGCTTCAATTTTGCAGCTGTCTGGCCATACCTTCCTATGTGCACATGGAAGGTGTAAGCCATCAGAGAGCAGAGGGCAAGCCCTTCTCACTGTGAACTCTGGCTCTAAATAAAGCATTAGGTTAGATGCAAGTCCTTCTCACTGTGAACTCTGGCTCTGAATAAAGCATTAGGTTAGATGCATTATCTGCCCTCTCGCTACGGGAGGGCACAGTGAGAAGGACCTATACTTGCTGAATTTTTACTGGTACAATCTGCATCGTTTTGCTACAGTTTGGTACACATGGAAATAATCAGAAAATATCTGCAATGACTCTATGACTTTATACAAGAATTTGCTTCTGAAATGATGTGGTAGACATGTAATAGAACAAAATTTAGAATTAAATTAACTGAGTTCTTTTGCTGGTCATGAAATCGATTAATTCCATGACCTTGGATTCTCTTCCCAAACTTTCTGAGCTTCAGTATCTATTTATATTAGTTCAGATAATAAAACACTCAGGTTTGCTTTAAGGATCAAATAAGAAATTTAGTTACAGGTAAAAATAGTGTATACAATGTCAATGTATGCAAGTAAAATGCCAATGTTATACACATATATGCAAATTCAGAACTATTGGTAAATGTGTGAGAATTCCCAATCTCTCATTTAACCAATCTGCATGTTCAACTAAAATGTATGAATTTAAATTGTAAGTACCTCCGATCTTCAGGTCTGTAAACCCAGGCAATCCCAGTGAAGATATCTCAGTGGTTAAATTCTGTATCTTTTTCCCCAAATATCCCTTGGCTCAAAGGAAATGGTATTCAGTGGAAATCTCTGAATAATGAGTGCACTGCAATTAAGCTTGCAGAAAATCTAAATGTCTTTGAGGAACAGAGATATGCTTGGCCTGCAAATTATGAGAATATTAAAAAAAAAGTTATTGGATAAATCAGACTTGAGTTTATTGGATAGAATTGTCTTTCAGGCTTACTTAAATTGCTTTTTATTATATAATACCCCACAACAACAGAAGTCGATGCATTTATTTTGTCCTGACATTTGCAAATATTCTTTCCTATTTCATAAGGGGAGCATGTTTGGTTGAGTAGGGATGGTTGCAAATTTCTTGCTCTCACATCACTACAATTTGAAGTTAGGATACAGTTATGGCTTGGGTCTGTGGTGAGCACTCAGACCAACCTTTAAATCAAGCAGCAAAAGAATGTCTAAGTTGTAAGTCGCAGCCTCTGCCCACTTCTGTGTGCCACTGGCGAAGTTTCTGACAAATGAAAGAGCGTGCTCCGTGCTCCTTCCACGCAAAGGCCTCGTTGCTAGGAAGCTCTGTGCTAGCTTGGGTTAAAGCCGCCTCATGCAACTTCCCCCCTTGCCCTCCGAATGCACTCAGAAGCAGCTTTCTCCCTTTTCAATGTTCGGCACTTCACAATGTGACGATGACTACAGTGTCTTCTTTCACCCTTCTCTGTGCCAGGCTATGCTTCCCCAGTTCTTGTGTGCATTCATCTATGGATTTTTTGTTAAAATGCTCAAGTCCTGGGTATTAACTTGGGATGGTCTTTGCAATGCCCATTTTAAAATGTAATATGTCAATTTCAACAGATTAAGTGTGATTTTTCCAGTACAGTATGCAGTGGCAATATTACTTTTCTGTTTTTATGCCAGACACATCCACACCGTTGACTCATTATAGACACATTAAAACTTAACCGTTGTATTTTCACATGAGAGGTTCTCAAGCCAGGTTAATATAGAATTGGGCAATTTTGAAACCAAATGCAAAAACATATGTTGCTTAATCTTCTCTGTGTTTTTAAATTGCTTAGTCTTTGGAGAAGTTGGAATCATTAAGAATAAGCTTATATTGAAATAAAAATTATAAAATTATTAGATAATAAAATGCAAATGTTCTCAGACAATATGGGAATGAATTAGAACCACATCCGTTTGTCAATCACATGCCCCTCCTGCCTGGACCCATAAAGACAACAGAAACCAGAATAAGCCCCACAATTAGAGATACCTTTTGCTTCTGATGGGAGTTTATTCTACGCATTGGCGTGGTGGACACTAAAATAATGCTTGAAAATTACTGGAGAGCAGATCCAAGAAATCCAGATGTCCGCACATCCTTTAAAATCATTATGGAAAAATGATTTGCAAAATGTTTGTACCTTTGACAAGAAGGCAAAGCGTCTGTGCTTAAAGTTAGAGGGCCTGCGGACGTCCACCTGTGTCAGCTCAGTGTCTCTAATGCAAAAATATGCCATTCTTCAGTGCTCAGTGTCCTTGGTGTGCAAAATGAAGGCCAGAACCCAAGGACAATGCACCATGCAGAGCAGCAGGAAGCCGGTTCACAGTCTGCACTTGAAAATAAGGCCAAGCACAAGTTTTTCATTTAGCCCTTCTGTGCCTTTCAAATCCTATTTCATAAGACTAAGGTTCACTTAAGTTATTTTTAAAAAATCCCACGGGAGTAAAGATTTTGCTAAAATTACACACAGACACAGAAACAGATATTTTAAAGAAAAGAAGATTCTTTGCACCGTTGTGCTTAATAGCACCCTTACAACCTGAGATTTGCAACACTTAGTCTAGATGATTCAGACAGATGGCTGAATGGGCTGCCTCTCAAGGCACATGCATCTGAGGTGGGGGTATGGGACAGCCGCTCCCCACTGAACCAGCACCCGAGATTCAAGACCAGGAGGTGCAGCCCACCCTGCCTTGATTTCCTTAGACCCTGCTTACATAAATCTTGTTTTTATCATGTAGAGAATGTCAATTCAGTCAGACCACTAAGAAAAGTCATGGAAACTCAGTCACTTCCTCAGGCACCAGATATTTAAAGTGCTATGACAAGCAGGAGGCAGGTTAGTGCTTCGTAGCGTTCAGCCTGTCATCTGTGAAATTCTTGCTTAATTTCACAAGGCCTGGCTTCATCAAGGGACTGGCAGAGTGGAACAAATACAGTGTTGGTCTAAGTGTGGCAGAAGCTCCTAGATGACCCATTATGTTGCCTAAGTTTAGTCAAGGACTGTGCATTTGTTGAGACAAAACCTTTAAAATATTAAATCTAATGACTTAGTTTTCAAAAAGCTTTAAAATAATTTATTCCTTTTGCCATATGACCTCGGATTCCTCCTGTCTTTTCTCATCTGTTCGTTCTGAATGCCAGCTATTAAAAGCAGCATGCTGCACACGTCCCTAGGAAGCATTGAGAAATGAAAGCCACATCATTTTCATCAGAAATTATCCAATATCCAACTTTATCCTAAACCACATTCCAACAAAGGAACATCATCTGTCACTTACTTAGAGGTGAATCCTCTCCGGGTGGCCATTCAGAGTAGAGGGAACAGTTCAAAGATGGAGAAGGCTGCCCATGATGTAGTGAAACAAGAACTTCCCAGCAAACTGTGAGAACTTTACGTAACTAAACAGAGACTTTTCATAGGTCAAAGGTGATTGTTGCTAGAAGGGAAAATGATGGCATTTAGTGGACTTAGGTTTTCACCTGGTTCATACTGAGAGAAAAACACACAAAGCAATTCATAGCTGTCGGTATCCAGCACAGCAAAGTATTCAAAAAACCTGGGCCACCTGTACATCCAGGTGTGGTTTGCATATCACCCCTGAAGATCCAGTACACACAGATTTTTAATTTGAACTTAAGAACTTAGCATGCCTGAATTATAGACTAGAGGTATCCTTAGCAACTGACTGGGGGTTAGGGCAAAGAGACACTTGCAACAAGTTATTAAGAGCTATTTTTGTAATATAACTCTGCAGAAGGAAATATCACCAAAACAAACAAAAAATGCCACCCCAGAAATCCTTGAAACATTTTCATTGCCAGCAAAAAAAATCACACAAATTCTCCAGCCTTTTAGAAATGAGTGGAAGGCCTGCCTCTTGTCTTTACAGGGAAATATTTAACAACTGAAGAGCGATAATAGTCGTGGAGAACCGAAAGGCAGGAAGAAGGTCGCAGACCGGTACAGAGAGCCGCCCTGGGCCCCGCGTGAGAGGGAGCGCCCAGGTGAGAATGGGCCGGAGTTTAAACGGGGTTCTGGGAAGGCCCTGGGGTGACGCGCTCCCGGAAAGGGCAGGTCTGCTCCTTTTGGGTCTCCGGAGACTTCACTGAGACAGACTCGTCACAGCTAATGAGAAGCACATTGCCGCGGTGGATGAGGCGAGTATTACAGTCACAGGGGGTTGGGAAAATGCCTCCGCCGCTGGGCCTCAATGTGCAAGACTCTGGTTTCCTGAGTGTTCCATCAGAAACTTCCTCCAGCAGCTACTCCTCACAGAGGAATGTGAGCACGAAAGTGAAAAGCCATAAAAAAGGTGGAAAGTAACTCAATTTCTGTGATATTTTCATAACCTAACATCTATTCTGTTTATTGGTAGTTTAATAATTATTATATATTTAGCCTGAGTGTTAAGGCAATGCATACCTATTGGGGAAAAATATGAAAAAGCTTAAAAATTTACTCCCCCACGATACCAGAGACAGTCATCTAAACATATGCTACAGATAGCTATCCTTACAAAATTGCATTTTCATTGTGTGTACAGCTTTGCTTTGAAGGAGCTCAGGAAATTTCACCCGAAAATATGATTCTTTGGTATAAAGAATATTTTAGTACAACCTCTGTGGAAAGCAATATGGAGATACCTCAAAGATATACAAGTTGAACTACCATTTGATCCAGCAATCCCATTACTGGGCATCTACCCAAAAGACCAAATGATACTGTATAAGAAAGACACCTGCACCCGAATGTTTATAGCAGCACAATTCACAATTGCAAAGATGTGGAAACAACCCAAGTGTCCATCAATACATGAGTGAATTAATAAAATGTGTTATATGTATACCATGGAGTACTATTCAGCCACAAAAAACAATGGTGATCTAGCACCTCTTGTATTATCCTGGAGCCCATTCTACTAAGTGAAGTATCCCATGAATGTAAAAAAAAGCACCACATATACTCACCATCAAATTGGTATTAACTGACCAATACCTAAATGCACATATAGGAATAACATTCATCGGGTGTCGGGCAGGTGGGAGGGGGAGGAGGGGATGGGCGTATGCACACCTAATGGGTGCGGTGCGCACCGTCAGGGGTATGGACATGCTTGAAGCTCTGACTCGGGTGGGGCAAGGGCAATATACGTAACCTAAACATTTGCACCCCCGTAATATGCTGAAATAAAAAAAAAAAGAATATTTTGAATTAAAGG